TGTGGTGTGCCAGTTGTCGGACTTTGGCTGTGTGCGCATGTTGAAGGCCCCCGGAGCGGAGGACGGCGGCGGACCCGGCTACCCGTACTTCACCGTCACCCGGGCGCTTGGGACCCTCACACATATGGCACCTGAGGTAGGTGGAGGGGTGGGCGGAGAGAGGGAGTCTGTATGTGTATATGTATGTATGTATGTGTTGCGGAGGATGGGGGTGTGGAATAGGGCAGGGGAGAAGGTAGGGAGATGGAGAGGGAGGGAGAGAGGAAACTTGTGTTCTCTGCGCCCTGGCGCTCCTCACCTCCCCCACCCCATCCCTCCTTTTGGACCTTTGAACACTTTGGACGCCGTGGACGGCGGTCTATTTATTTCTGAGAGTTTCTTCCACATGATTACCCCCAACCCCCTTCCTCCCCTTCCTCCCCCATCTCCCCTTCCTCCCCTTCCTTCCCCCAACCCCCTTCCTCCCCTTCCTCCCCCATCTCCCCTTCCTCCCCTTCCCCCCTCCCCCTCTTCCCCCTCTCCCCCCTCTCCCCGCCATCTGTCACAGGTCATCAGCAAGGGCGCTCTGCTGACCAGCTCCGTGGACGTCTACTCGTTCGGCATCCTCATGGCGGAGCTGGCCACCGGCCTCCCCCAGGACCAGTGCATGCAAGGCAAGGAGGCCATACAGCTGGCCAGGAAGGGGGTGAGACCCACACTGCCGCCGTACTGCCCCAAGGAATACAGGTGGGATGAGTACGGCGGGGGCGCTGATGGGCCGGAGGGGGGGGGTCCACATTGTGGAAAGGGGGTTGAGGGGGATCATCTGTGGGACAAGGAAGGTGAGGGAAGCAATGGCGGATGGGCCAACCGGGCCAACGTGGTCGCCACATCGGTTCAATCGGATCTCAATGGGTCCCAAGAGTGTGGGGGAGGTGTGAGGGGGAGGGTGGCGCATGTGACTGGGCCTCTGATGGCTGGAATTGCTGCTCTGATTTGGTGCTGCTGCTACTGTCGCTGCTACTATTGCTACTGCTGCTACTGGTGTTGTTACTCTGCTACTATTGCTACTGCTGCTACTGGTGTTGTTACTCTGCTACTGCTGCTACTGCTGGTTGACCCCTCCAGAGATGTGGCTACTGCCTGCTGGGCCCATGACCCTCACGCCCGACCCACCGCCGCGGAGCTGGTCAATGTGTTGCAGCTGCTGCTGAGCCAGGTGGGGGGAGGGGGGAGGAGGGGTTTGACGGGGGAGGAGTAAGGGGCCACTTCCCGGCTGAGGAAAGGGGAGAGGGGGGAGGTGCAGCAACAGCCATGGCGGGGATGGAGTGTGTGTGTGTGTGTGTGTCTGTGTGTGTGTGGGGGGGGGAAATGATGTATGGCGATACCCGTGGTACTGGAAGTAAACCCATACCGCCACAACCCATACCGCCACAACCCATACCGCCACAACCCATACCGCCACAACCCATACCGCCACAATTACCTCAAATTCACCCACCGCGGTGGTCGGACGTGCTTGTCCTTGTGCCGTACAGGTCCAGGGTAACGCGCAAAGCTCCAGCTTTAGCCATGTGCTGTCCCAATTATTACAGATACAGCAGCAACAACAACAACAACAACAACAACAACAACAACAACAGCAGCAACAACAACAGCAGCAGCAACAACAGCAGCAAGCAGTGGAACACAACCGGGTCCTCGGGGCGTGGGGCGCAGCGGGGCACAGAGCACAGGGGGGGGACCCAGGCGGCGGCGGCAGGCTGCTGGCGGCACCGACTGCACGGGCGGTTGCGGCAGCCCTTCACCGAGAGGACGCAGGCGCCAGTCCTGGCGACGGCGCGGCGGCGGCAGCGGCTGCCCACGCCAGCAACGGCATCATGGTCACACCACCGCCGTTGCCAGCACCCGCCGTGGCCTCCCTCGCCGGGCCTGTGTCAGCTGTGGTGCCGCTTCCCGCCTTACCTGAAGCCAGCGCTCCGCCACCGCCGCCGCCGCCGCCGCCAGCATCAGCCATCATGGCGGCGCCGGTGGCAAATGCTGATGTGCCGGTGGTGAACGGTGGAGTGCCGTCGGCTGTGGCTGGGCCAGCAACGGCGGCGGCGGCTGCAGCGGCGGCGGCGG